TTCCTATAGTCACCCAGCAATTTGTAAAGGAGAATTTATGGATTGGTGTGGTGGTGTGCCCCTATAATCCCAGCTACTGGGGAGGCTGAGACAGGAGTACAAGGTTCCAGGACAGCCTAAACAACTTAGTGAGATCCTCTCTCAAATATAAAACACCAAACAACAACAACAAAAGACTGAAAATAGTGGCAGAGGGTGCAGCTCAGTGGTAAAGCTGCCTGTTTAGTGTGGGAGAGGCCCAAAGATCAATCTCTCATATCAAAAAAAAAAAAAAAAAAGATTGAAAATGACTTTAGGAATGTCCTATTTCAACAACTTATTTTACAAATATTCCAAGGACACAAGACTTGCCAAGGTCATATCCTTGCTTGGTGCCCTCTAGAAAGGAAATATGATGCTGTGAATGGTGTGATTCCTGGGAAACACTGGACTCTTGCTGAAATTAATCACAGGACTGGCCATGAAGCTCAGGGTGGAGCACTTACCTACAATGTGGGGACCTTGGGTTCAACCCCAACACCACACACACACAAGAACACTTATTATAAGATATGGTGGCCAAGCCTGTAATCCCAGCGGCTCAGGAGGCTAAGACAGGAGGATGGCAAGTTCAAAGCCAGCGTCAGCAAAAAGCTAGGCGCTATGCAACTCAGTGAGACCCTGTTTCTAAATAAAATACAAAAATAGGGCTGGGGATGTGGCTCAGTGGTCAAGTGCTCCTGAGTTCAATCCCTGGTACCAAACAAAGAACACCTCACTGGTCGGGCATGAAGTGGTGGTGCATGCCTAATCCCCAAGGCTCAGAAGGCTGAAGCCGGTCTCAAAATTTTAAAAAAGAGCTGGAAATGTGGCTCAGCATCCTGGGTTCAATCCCTGGTACCTAAATAAAGACTCACTGGTAAACATTCAGTTTTGAAATCATGAAACTCCCTCTTTTGCTTACTCTTCCCACTGGACATAGTAAGAACACAAAAAAGAGTCACCTGGGCAGATCAGGAGTTAATCAGAAGAATGCAGTTATTAAGAAACATTCATTATAATAGCTGTTTTGCTCATAACCTGTTATGAGCCCAAAGTTTCCCAGCTTTAAAAAAGCCTGAACCTGCTAAGCAGACTTCAGAAAACGAACAAGAATCCCTTTTGTAAATAACCACGCAGCATAGGTGTTTTGTTTTTTAATTAACTCTTTTTTGAAAGCCTAAATGCTAGTTATAGGTAAGGACAGGATCCCTTAACTTTTCCTGAGATGATTTTTCCCACTAATGAAGACAGCTGTTGGCAGGGGGAGGGGAAAGGGAAGGTTAGTAACCCAGTAGTAAGTCTAAGGCACAAGAGGCTTTCTCAATAAGCTGAGGCTCCCAAGCTACCGGATAAGGACTCAGGATCTATGACTGAGCTGCCCTATGTAGGTCATGCAGTTGACATGATTACTTTGGATGGCTTTTTGACATGGCTCCATGGAAATTTACAATTATGACCCTTCCACGTAGTGATAAATAGCACAATAAATGAGATTAAATGAATCCCAAAGGACTGGCAAATGGTCATGACTTATAATTTCTGGCAAAACCTGAGTTTTCTGTATAAAACATAAAAATCTGATACATTTTGACTTTCTTTCAACTTTCTGATTTTAGAACCAGTAGTTTTCTCATCTTAAGATGTTCTCTACTCACTCCAGCACAAAGCACTCCTATATTCAGTCTAATGGAGATAGACTATCAACAGCTTCAAGAAGGTCACAAGGCAGGGGCATAGCTCAGTGGCAGAATGCTTGCACAGTGTGCCCAAGGCCTTTCGTTCCAACCCCAGCACACCCCCCCACCAAAGGTCACAATTTCCAGCCACAGGAAAACAAGATTTTAAAGACCCACTGGTTTCTCTCAAACTAATTGTTTTAAATGCTCAGCTTTTATCTCAATTTTCCCTACTCAACTCAATGGTTAAGTGCTTTAGTTTATAATTGGCTCTATAAAACACAAAGTCACTCCTATATAATAGTAATGAATATCTAAGGAAAAAAACACATAACACTGTGCTCTAAATCTGTCATTAATCATATAGGCAAGGAAGAAGACCAAAGTAAACACTGGCCCAAAAGTAACTGATTAGGAATATTCAAAACAACCGAACTGTGATTAAATATTAAAACATAATCAGATTAAGGAGGCCTTAATTTTCTCTTCTGTAAAAAATAAGCAGGTCCTGCCAAATTATCTTCACAACTATACTGTTCAGTTAAAAAAAAAAAAAAAAAAAAAAAAGGTGCATGCCACCACATGGATGGACCTTGAGAGCACAGTGCTAACCCAGGCACAAAAGGCCACAAGCTGTCTGCTTCTGTCTGTATCAAATGTCTGAAACAGGCAGGTCCATAGACAGAATTGTAGATTCCTGGTTGCCAGGGGCTGGGAGTGACTACTCTTTGAAGTGATGAAAATGTTTTGGAATAAGACAGTAGTGACTTGCACAGTCCGGTGATACAGAAGAAACTACTGAACTGTGACAATTTTATCATTTTTTTAAAAGGCATTTAAAAAAAGCAGACCTCAAGGAAGCTGGCATACAAGCAGAGACCTATAAAATCCAAATATTTGGTTTCCACAAACATGCTGACTCCCGCTAAAATGTTTTTTTTTTAAACCAAAAAGTGCTAACAAATAACTAGTACCCAGAGAACACCCCACATGTACATTATTTTTGTAAGGGCTTCAGATAACTAAGCTTGGCATAAAACTATAAAATTGGTTGCACAGCTCACTCCAATCTACATGATTAGTTGAGTAAACTGCACTATAGTTAGAATAAAATTCTCATGCTAGGATAGAATTTGCATATAGGAAAACTGTTAACAGGTCAACACACACAATCTTAGCTTAACTATCTACTTTGATCTAATTTCTTCACTTACCATTGTATCGTCCTATTTCAGTTCTAAAGGTGAAATTATTTTCAGAATTTGAACTTGGGATATGCAGAGTTGAACACAAACTAGTTAGCTTCTCTTTGGTACTAATTCCAAATCATAAGGACAAGGAAGGAGGACAGTTTACCACAAAGCATGTCTGAGAAAACAGGCCATCATCCTACGTTGCTACCATTGGATATGCATAACTAACGTTAGGCAGAGTACTCCGTAATACACCAGACAACTAATGCTTTCAAGAAATACACATTAAAATAACCCCAAATTGTGAATCCTCGTAAGCAGCCACTTCCACAGGGAAAGTGATGACTTGAAAAGCTGACCTGATGGTAAATTAACCCACATTAGGCCCCTCAGGCTTTCTTTCCCAGCCAGCTGCCTTGATCCACACACTTTATGAAGCAACTTCACACACTGTGAGGCCTTCTGGGTCTGGAAAAGTGGGTTTACAATTTGGTAAGACCATGTGCAGAAAGTTAGCAAACACCTGTTCTCTAATTTACTGTAAAAGCAACATGACCATACCATGAAATGAAGTAAATTTACGTGGTTAATGTACCTTTACCTACATATCTAAATTCAAATGGCATACCAATCCAGCCAATTCACCAGTAACATATACCTCCCTCCATTATTCTACTTCTATTAGTGAGAAGTCATGGCTTTTAGCTCCAACATGATCAGTGCACAACCATCATGAGCAACCAAAGTATGCAGAAGGTATCTTGCAATCACTATTAGGCACTTGCATACTTAGTTTTACACAGTCCTCTTTGAATCACAGATCCAACTAGTTTAGTTATCCAGACACAGCCAGGACCTTTCATCTTCTATTCATTCTTGCCTGTGAATTTTAACGATCTTTTAATACTCAAAGGTCATGGATATTTTGAGGCTCCACCCAATACCAAGAATCTAGGATATAGGTTTAAGTTATGGGGGAAGGGGTTCTACCTCAAACTCAGCTACAAACAATTATCATAGTTGCTGGATTCCCCGGATACGGTAGGATTCCTAGTCGAGGGATATCCCTGCAATCAGCTAGGCAGCATATGAACCCAGTTATCGGACACCAACGTGACAAACCAGCCCAGAGTCTACGCAACCTTTTCATAGTTATAAACTGAAACTCATAGATTTTACAAGTCAGGTCTGATTCTTCCGCCGTACATGTGTTTTCTGGCCTTCGTTACAAGTCGTATAATAACAGTAACCTCTCGCTTGTTGGAATCCTTTCCACGGAGAAAAAAAAACAACGTTCTATAAAGTAAAGCCAGAAAGACTTAAAACAACTGTCCGACTTAGTTTGGTGGCAACATCCATTGCTGCGCAAACCAACCCAATCTATTTGCAGAGAGCTGAACGCTAAACCCCAGCGAAACCCAAGGGCGCTGGCCCCACGCGCGAAGGCCCTTCCGCCAGCTCCCGCCCGGCTCCAGCGAGGAGCGCGCCCGCAGCGCGGTGACAGGCTCCAACCGACGCCCGAGCCGGCACACGCGGGCCCTACGTGAGGCACCAAGTCCCGCCCCGCAGCGCCGCCGGCCGGGGCAGCGTGACCGCGGGGCAGGGTCCGGGACGCCGGGAGGGAGGAAGCCGGCCCGGTGCGGCGCGCCGCCCCCTCCCGGAAGGCCGCGAGAGGGAAGATGGGGCGGGGCGCAGCGCCCCCCCGAGGACAAGGCCGGAACGGCACCGCGCTGCCCGGCGAGGCCAGCGAGGCCCGCGACGAGACCCGCCAACGCCCGCAGCGGCCGGTACGCCTGCCGCCGAGCGCGGGACGGTGCCCACCACCGGCCGGCGAGCGTCCGTTGGCACGGCGGGCGGCGCGCCGTCCCCTCCCCCGCCGCCTGCCCGCCGCGCCAGCCCTCGCGCAAACTACGCCATTGCGGCCTAGCCGGGCGGCGCCGCCCCTCCCCCGCGCCGCCATCTTCGCGGCCCACCGCCCCCGCCGCCGCCATCTTTTGGGGCCGCCATACTTGCCCGGGCGGAGAAGATGGCGGCGCCCATCACACACATAAAACATGGCTTCCCTTCAAAACAAAAACATCCCGGGCCGCGGCGCGCGGCCGGCGCTCACCTGAGGACCACATGGTGACCGAGAACTCGCCCTCCAGGGTCTTGATCTGCACCTGCTTCTGCTCCCACTTCTTGTTGCCCGGGTCGGCTCCGCCGCCGCCCGCCGCGCCGGCCCCGCCGCCCAGGTAACTCTTCTTGCCGCTCTTCTTGCCGCCGCCCTTCTTGACGCGGCCGCCGCCCGACGACGACGAGCCGCCGCCGCCGCTCTTGCCGGCCGCCGCCACGGTGACCAGCGTCTGCTCGATGTAGTCGTCGTCGCCGCCGGCCGGCGCGGGCACCGGGATGAGGATCTGGTCCTCGAAGCCGTCCTCGGCGCGCAGCCCGTCCGAGTCGTCGCCGCCCACCACCTCCTCGCGCGTCTGCACCAGGATCACCTCCTGGTGGTGGTGCACCTGGGTCGGGTCGTCGGTGACCAGCGGCTGCAGCGCGATCATGGGCGGGTGGTGGTGGTGATGGTGGTGGTGGTGGCCGGCGTGCCCGTGGCCGCCCCCGCCGCCGTGGTCGCCGCCGCCGCCATCCTCGTCGTCGTCGTCCTCCTCCTCCTCCTCGCCCACCACCGTGGTCTCGATCGTCTCCACCGGGATGGTCTCCACCTCGATCTCGTGCAGCTCCACGATCTCGGCCGGCATCTCCGAGCCGTCCGTGGCGATGTAGAGGGTGTCGCCCGAGGCCATGGCTGAGGGCGCCGCCGCCGCCGCGGCGGCCTCGGCTCCTGGGCTGCGGGCGGGAGGGCGAGGAGGCGGCCGGCCGTGGGGAAGGAAGGCAGAGGGAGGAAGGCGGCGGGCGAGCGGGCGGGGGGAGAGGGGGCGGGCGGCGGGGGAAGGGGCGGGCGCGGCGGCCGCGGCGGCGGGGCTTCCCCGCCTCCCTCGCTCGGTGCGCCCCGCGCTCCCTCGGCCGCTGCTCGTCCCGCTCCCCGCCTCGCCGCGCCGCGCCTCGGCCGCCCGCCCTGGCCGCACCTCCTCCCGCCCTCCGGGCCGGCGCTCCGCTTCCCCCTTCCTCCTGCGCCTCCGCCTCCTTCCACACAAATACCAACTCCTCAACCCGAGCCCAGATCTCGCCGCCGCCGCCGCCGCCACACTCCGCTCGGGCTGGGCCTCGCGAGACTTACGCGCTGGCCCGGCCCACCCCGCCTCGCTCTCACTCGCTCCCTAGCGCTCTCGCTCCTCCTCCTCTGCCAATCGGGCGGCCCCGCTCGCTCAGCGGCCCCGCCCCTCCACCCGGGCTCCTCCCGGGTTGGGGCCGCTGGGACAGGGGGCGGGGCGGCCCCTACGCTTGCTGGCTGGCCCGAGGCGCGTGACGTCTACGCGGCGCCGCCGCCGCGCCTCCTGCCGCTCGGCGTCGCGCGGCGCCCGCCCTCCGTGGTGCAACAGCGACAAAACCGCCGCCTAGGGCCCCGGGCGGGTCGCACTTGAGAGCAAGGCGACGCCGCTGCAGCCGCCGACTCCGGAGCTGGTGAGCGGTCCGCGCGGCCTCGGCGCACGGGCGCTGGAGACTGGGGAGAAGGGAGGGGCGGCCTGCCAGAGGGGGCTTCGGGCCGGGGACGTCCCGGTTATGGTGCGGGAGCCGCCGCCACACGTTGTGTGAACCGGTCGCCCCAATAAAGTCTGCTTTGACTAGAAACGCCTGTGCTTCGTTTTTCGTGTTCAGCGATTGCCCTGGGCCTCTCGCTTCGAGCGAGCGATGGCGGGTGAGTGGAGCGCGGAGCGAACGGAGTCGGGCTGGGAGGACAATGTCCCCAGCACGGTCCTCACCTCGCCGCGGGAGTCCTGGTTCCGCGCGCTGCGGGGTCCCGGGCGGCCGCTGGTGGGCGGGGCGGGCTGGCGGAAGCGGCGCGCGGGGCTGGGGTCCACCGTTGGCCGACTGTCCGTTATTCTTTTGTGACCCGCGGAAACCTGAGACGGAGCCGTTGAGTGCCTGTCTCCCCCTGGACCTTAGAACTACAGCGTCCTGACCGCTCTGGTCCTGGGGCTCGGCTGTTCATAGCTTCCTAACATTTTCTTCCGTGCTTTGCTTTCTTAGCTGTCCAGCCAGTCGTCGTTTCCCATACCACTGCCTTCACCTATTTCTCACCTTCTTCAATGCTTCTCGTGTGCTCACCGGGCTTTGCATTTATCTCATTGAAAATTTAAATTTTATTTTCGGCGTTATGCTCCATTATAACTTCACCAGAGCCTAGTTTTTCGGTTTTTTTATCTTTTTATTTTGGCGCGGATTAGCAGAAAGTTAAACATTCCTAAATGAGATGTATTGCTGCGAACTGTTTTTGTTCTAATTAATACTGGTCGGCCTTACAGTTGGCTTATTAAAGCAATAAAGATTATCCGATTTTTTTGGTGGTGGTGGGGCACTACTGGTGACAACCCAGGGGTGCTTAACCACTGAGCAACATCCCAGCCCATTTTTAATTTTGAGATAGAACCTCTTTAAATTACTAAGGCTGACCTTGAACTTGGGATCTTCAAACCTCAGGCTTCCCAGTCGCTGGGATTACTGGCATGCGCCACCATGCCCAGCAGATTATCTGATTTTTAGGAAAACCAAAAAAAATTTTTCTTGGGAAAGCGTGTCTTTGTGTGCTCTTTTGGCGTATGTAACACCATTGTGCATTGTTGAAGGGGGTCATCGTTTACTCTTGACTGTTGGAATAATGTTCATCCAGCTGAGGCCATGGTTGTTCTGAACACGTGTACACACGTTTGATCCCACTTGTTAAAACAAGCAGGAATCCTATTATTGGGAATGTACTAGGGACACGCTATTACATTCAATTAAAATGCAATTTTACAGATTTTTGTCTTATTTCTAAATGGTACTGGACTTGTGTTTGGGAAATATTAATGTAAGAAGAATTATATCTTCTTTGAGTTTTACTTTTGTTTTTATTTGCATTACTGGGGATTGAACCCAGGATCTCATATATGCTCAACAACCAGTCTACCACTGAGCTGTATCTTCAGCCCCCCTGAATCTTGGGTTTTAAAACCTGAGTAATTAATTCCCTTTGGAGTGTTGCACCCACACAGTTTGGCAAATCAAATCTGTTGCGTTAAGTCATTTCTGGCTTCGTAGCTTATAAACTCTGCATAAATATTTCATAAATGAAAACCAGTTGGAGGATTTTTATGTGGCTTAATGCTTTTTAATTTCACTTTCCCTGCTCTGTAGTAGTTGATGGGGAAGTGTCTTTGCAAGTAGTTGATATTTCTCTATAGATATCCCAAAAGAGCAGGAGAAACTGGAAGTGCCCATTAGGCAACCCAGCTTCTGCGTCAGATCTGTGGATGTTCGCAGTCAAGTGGAGAAAGCCAAAGGAGGTAAAATGGCCAGGCAGGGTGATAGGTAAGAGCAGTATGATGCTCCTGAGCTGCCCTAGCACTTGCTCCAGGAATAGGTTTTGAAGCTTGCTCCAGCACAGCTAACCTTGGTTCAGCAGGCTTGAAGTTTTCTGTGGTGGGAGATATTCAGCTTCCAATTCAGCTAGGAAGAATCCATCATTAGACATGCAAAAGATACTGCATTGTTGGCTGTAAGTTAAACTGCAACATCGACCATGAGACTCTAAAGATGGGGATAATTTCACCACTTTTATTCTGTTTTTCTCTTTGGGCAGAATGCACTGGGCCAATGAGTACTTCCTCTGGAGTCCTTGGGTTTGGCCATGAGACAATGATTATTGACGTTAAAACTAACTGGCATTTCTCTTACACCAGCATTTACCCACAATTTTCCTGCCTCCTATCTGGACAGAGGCAAAGGTTGGTTTTTCCACGGCTCAAGCCTTTGGAGTTGTTACTTGCTTTTTAATTCATTCAGCAAAACAAGATTGAAAGCACCATGGCAGAGGGGAGCTCAAAGTGATCATGTTTGACCATTTCTTATTAAGAGTTTCCAAAGCTCCAATTTTCTATTGCTATTGGGAAAGTGAGCATCAGTGACAGTAGAAGAAAGGAGAATGTAGGAAACTTCATAACAGTTATGAGAAACTTACTAGGGTCACCAAGAAATCAGAGCTTGCAAATGACTGAGATGGGAAGACAAAAAAAAAAAAATGTGTCTTTTGGCTACCTGACCAGGACAGAATCAGGAGGAAGATGAGGACTATTTCAAAGTTGCCATAAGTAATATATTTGTTGCTGAATTTAAGTTTTTAGGTGTTGCCTAATGAGATGATGGGACATAATAGGTTCAATATTCAAACTTGGTTAAGAGCCTGTAGTTTAGGAAGGTATGAGTGGAGAAGGGTGGAGGGTGGGAGTGGGCAGAGGAATAAAGGTGTTCGTCAAAAGATGCCTAATAGCTCTCACTCCTTGCTTTATTCAGAGTTAAGTTTTGTTTCTCATTTTTAATTTAATTTAATTTTTAATTTTTGGGATACTAGAGATTGAACTCAGGGCCACTGAGCCACATCCCCAGCCCTATTTTATGTTTTATTAGGAGACAGGGTCTCACTGAGTTGCTTAGCGCCATTGCTGAGGCTGGCTTTGAACTCATGATTCTCGTGCCTCAGCCTCCCGAGCCACTGGGTTTACAGGCATGCACCACCTCGCCCGGCCTCGTTTATTGTTTTTTGAGATGCTGAGAATTAAACCCAGGGCATACCATATGCTAGGCAAATGCTGTACCACCGAGCTATATCCCAAGCCTGTCTCCTTAGTGATTATAGGCAAACAGACAATTAAATCTAATTTGACGGCACTTCTATTTCTGACAGTTTGAGATTAGTTCAAGCAATGAATTCATGCTAAGTGCTAAATAATTTTCCCTTAGAGTAATTTGGCTGCCTCATGAAATTATGATTCTTTTTTGTTGTTGTTTTGTTTTCAGTACTAAGAATTGAACAACCCAGGGATGCTCTACCAGTGAGCTACATCCCCAGCCCTTTTTATTTTTTTATTTTGAGGCGGATCTTGCTAAGTTGCCCATGATGGCCTCAAACTTGTGATCCTCCTGCCTCAGCCTCCCTAATAGCTGGGATTATAGACATGTGCCACCGTGCCCAGCTATGAAGTTGCTTTCAGATTAGTTCTGATATCCAGTTATTTTATGGTAACTTCAAATAGAAAGTCGGTGCTTTGCATCAGGTGTAGGACTGAAACTGTTGGAACTAGGCAGGGTGTCATCTTGTCCTATCCATTTTGTAGACAAGGAGACCAACTGAGGGCAGATATGCACACCAGTCACTTGGAAAGGTGGGAAGGCAGCACTGGGGCTGATGAGAGCTCAACTCTTCTACCTTTTCTGGTTTCAAAGACAGTTTGGGTGGTAGAACCCTGTTCCAATTCAGATCTGTGAAAAATCAAGAGGAAAATTCCTGTTTGCTTCTAAATTGGTTCCTCCTAGTTTTGATTCTTAAAAGTTAAATGAGAAACCATAGGTGTATTGTATTAATTGTCTAAACCATAGGTGATTTGGGGGGAAGGGTTATAGAGTTTTTGAAACCTGAGCTTCTAAAATCAGTGGAATTTTAGATTATGGTGAATGAACCTAACTGTATATGTGAACAGGTGAGGTCCCATATTGTTTAAAAACTAACGTTTTTATACAACATCATATGTGTTTTTATAAGGCCTTGATCAAATTCTTTTTTTTTTTTTTTAGTTTTTTTTTTTTTTTTTTTTGTAGTTGGACACAATACCTTTATTTTACTTATTTATTTTTTTCATGTGGTGCTGAGGATCGAACTCTGGGCCTTGAACATGCTAGGTAAGTGCTCTACCACTGAGGATCAAATTCTTAATCTTAGGCTAAGTGGTTTATTGTGATGATTGAATCTGATTATTGCCCATAAATAT